TTGTTACCTGTGTTGGGGTGGGCTTTTCAGTGATGCCATCCATGGGTTGTCAGTTATTCCTGCCCCAGTGAATAACCCCTCTCCCATGCTCCTGTTGGTGACCCCAATAAAACCCAATAACCCAATGGCTCACCAAGCTGGTCACTGATGCAATGGTTACTTTGTCAGCCGTGAGTTCCCTAACTGAGGTGAACTGGTGTGTGTGTGTGTGTGTGTGTGTGTGTGTGTTTCCAGGGAAAGTCTGTCACACAACACAGACCTGTCCTCACAGTGTGACAGGTGTTAGAACAGTTGAGCAGAGGGAACAGAGGCACAATTTCTCTTCTAACAGGATCTGCTGTAGGAAACCGTAGCAGGGGAGGAGCTGGGCAGACAGTGGGGACCTGGGGAAAGCAGTGTCCTGCTCCTGAAGCACACTCCAGTGTCCTCCCCTATGAAGTCAGGGGGATGGGAAGTGAGGCATCCTGGGTCCTCTCTGCAGATGACATCACAGCCCTTCCTCCTGGACTAACGGTGGGTGTGACAGGGAGGGGCTGGAGCAGCAGGCAGCACTGCAGACTGTCCTGGAGGAAGACAGAGTGGCCATAGGTGAAGAAGAGGAGGACTGTCAGGGATGCATGAGGAGGGCCGTGGAAGCCTCGGTAGGCGATGCTGAGCTGAGCTGCCCACTAGAGATGCAGGGTGGGTGGTTCTCAGACAGAGGGACAAAGGGGGACACTCTGAGGACATCTTTGTGCTGGAGAAGTCAGTGGGAGGTGACATCAGAGTCATAGTCTTTGATGAAGCACCCAGGATATGAGGGTCCAAGAGGATGGGGTCAAGTGTAACTGAGAGAGGCATTGGATGGTTTAATGATTTCTTCTCTTTTTGAGACAGGATCTCACTGTGTAGCCCAGGCTGGACTGGAACTCACTATGTAGATGAGGCTGGCCTCAAACTTATAGGAATATGTCTTCCTTTGACCCCCCGAGTGCTGGGATTAAAGGTGTGTGCCACCATGCTTGGCTTATAATGTCAAATTATTTGCATATATAGACCTGTGTGGGTGTGTGCCTGAGAATTCATGGATGTGGAGGCCAAAAGAACATGGCATCACAGACCATTGTGAGTCACCTGATGGCTGACACTGAATACATGCTCTTAAGCAGAGTGAACTCTCTGGCCAACAGGATTTTATTTTGTTTCTTCTTTAAAATAAATTATTATTGTGTGTAGCGTAGGCATGCGGCACACATGTGTTATGGTATGTTCATGGATTCCAGATGACAACATGTGGTAGTTGGTTCTCTCCTTCCCACAGGTGGGTTCCATGGATGACACTCAGGGGTCAGGCCTGTGCAGCAAGTGTGTTAGCTGAAAAAGTGGAAAGAGGCCGGCAGAGGGCAGCAGAGAGCAGCAATGGCTTTGGCCCTCATCTGAGTTCTCCCAGGGACTCCCTGAAGGAATCCTCCCACAGCTTCCCTAGGATAGAGATGTCACCTCAGAACAAGGCCCTTAGAATATCCAAGGAGCATCCAAGTCCACGTGACACAGAGAAAGGGAAGCTATGGAGAGCCAGACGAGCTTCTGACTTGTACATAGTTGGCTCCTCCTGCCCTTGGAAAGGCTTTTTAGTTACAGCACAAACAGATGAACAACAAACACTCATGACTGGCCATGAGTGACACATGCCTTTAATACCAGCACTCAGGAGGAAGAGGCAAGTGGACCTCTGTGGGTTACATAGTTGGCTCCTCCTGCCCTTGGAAAGGCTTTTTAGTTACAGCACAAACAGATGAACAACAAACACTCATGACTGGCCATGAGTGACACATGCCTTTAATACCAGCACTCAGGAGGAAGAGGCAAGTGGACCTCTGTGGGTTCTAGTCCAACATGGTCTATAAAGTGAATTCTAGGACATCTAAAATTACAAAGTGAAACCCTGTCTCAACCAAAACAAAAGAATAGTCCTGATCTTAGGGAATGGGACAATTGAAATAAACCCTGGACGGAAGGGCAGGATCCCAAACCACTGACAACCCGAGAGTCTCAGCATAGTCAACACCCCCCCACTCTCGAGCTCACCCAAGCACTTCAGTACAAACTCAGAGTGACTTGGCCCACTCTCAACCTCAGAGGGACTGTTTCCATTAGGTCAGGTTACAGCCTGGGACTGAACTAAGAGAAGAAAGATCCCCACCCTGCGGACAGCCCAAACCAAGCTCTGCCCTCCTGGTGTCCCCCCTCATTGGGGGACTTCCCAGGTTGGCCATCTCCAAGACCCTGCTCCTGTCACCCCAAAGAAGACTTGTCCCATTGGAGTGCTGTTTACAGGCTTTCTTCTTCTTTGGGATAGAGAGTATCCAAAAGAGAAGAGCCTCAGTAGGGACACACAGGTTTTAGGGTGCAGATGGGGCTCCCTGGGATCTGTGGTTGGCATCACTCATTCACCAAGCCTTCAAGGCACCCTTAGCTTCCCTCCTGCTGTGACCTTAAGTTATTTTTCTTCTCTCCACTGTCCTTCCAGGATGACTGGTGCCACTGTGGATGCTCAGAAACTCTGAGCCCCTGCAGATAGGACCATTCATGTTTGTTTTTTTTTTTTTCTTGAGACTATGAGGTTGAAGGAGGATTCTAAGACAATGGCTGAGAATGAAGGGTAGGTGGGTGCTATCTCTGCCTCTCTGAGCTAGCATAGCATTTGGCTCCTGAGTCTTTGTTGGAAATATCGAATGAGTGAGACACAAGAAAAAGATGACAGCATCACGACAGAGATGATCACCTTCTTGGGCATCAGATATCTCTACTAAGTCTTCTGGAGCTCCTGACTCGAGGTCACAAGGCTAAAAGAGAAAATATAGGGGCCAGAACCTACAACCACAGTTAGATACTGAAAGATGGGAAAGGAGAGAACTTCCAGGGAGGGTACAGGAGCTCAGGAGACTGAAGTTCATGTTCTCAGGCCACAGTCTCTGGAGTACAGGGTACTAGTTGGGTCTTGAGGGGACAAGAATGGAAAAACACATTTTAATTCTGTCACTTGGGGACCACAAGGGATAAGGAGGCAGGTACCATTTACAGGAACAAAAACAGGCCTAGTCCTCCGTACACACTAAAATGACAAGAAATAAACATAGAAGATGGGGGAAGAGTCACAGACGGTTTGGGGGCCACACTGATCTGTCACAGCTGCCCTGGCTGCTCATAATCCTGGTGACAGGACAAGGCTCTGGCCATCCCTGTGTCCCTGTGACCACAGATCTCAGCATGTGGTTCTAATTGATGAAGAAAACAGAGCCAGGAGGTGACACAGTTGAGGAGTGACCATGTCACAGCCAACAATGGACTGAGCTCCACCTGGACACAGCCCTGTTCACACACAGTTCCCACAGCCTGATCTATCACACCAGATACACACAGCTCAATGAACACAGATTCTGGGAGGTTCTCCATGCTGCGTTTATTTCCTTCACAAAACTCTAAGTATTCACAATCATTTAATTTACCTGCCAAAGTTTGAGATCAAGGGCCGGAACCATTAAGTTCACATTTAGATACTTATTTTCAGTGGGGACATCAGGGGCTGCAGCTCAGGGTAGCATGGAGGTGACAGGATGGAGATGTCCCCTCCTGTCTGCTGGAACAGAAGGTTTGGCTGTGGAAGGGAACACAGGCAGTGCAGGAACAGCGTCCTGCTGTGCAGGGCTAGGTAGCCAGTTTTTCACATTGAGCCCTAAGATCACAGGGAACATTAGACACTGTTGCTGAGAGTGAACTGAGGGGCCATGGATGTCACACGAGAGGGCTGAACACTCCATCCCACCAGGCAGCTGTCTTCATGCTACAGAACAAGAGTCATGAACTGAAGAAAACATCCCAACAACCCACCACTCACAGGTGATTATGGGCATCCCTGAAACCTAATTGTGTCCACTTTGCCCTCCCACACCCCAAATCAGGTCTCAGAGTGTCACCTTCACAGTCTGGGAGAGACACATCTGAGATCTGGACATTGTCCCTACCCAGGGATAAATGTATGTATGTATGTATGTATGTATGTATGTATGTATGTATGTATGTATAAACAGGTCCCCAGAAGATTTTGCTGGAGGAGCTATTATGGATTTCCAGAGCTTTACAAATACTCCAGATTCACCCCAAGGGCTCAGGGACAATCCTGCTCCCCACACTGGACAGGGAGCATAGTCCCCTCCTCTTCCACTGTGAGAGGAAAAGCTGTGAGAGACTAGGGAAGTCTCCTACCCTAGGAAGTTTCCAGAATTAACAGCAAACCCAGTTTAGAGACAGGAGCAATGTGGGTGTATTTCCCGTCAACGAGGCAGAGCACACTTCTGAAAGGTGTAGCAGAATTCTGCTGGCCTGACTCCAGAGTGATAGCAACTGGCCCGAACCCTCACTGGGCCAACCTGGCCTAACTCCAGAGCGCTAGCACCTAGCCTAATCTATCCTATGTGAACCTTGTTTGGGAGTTTACCAGGGATACAAAAGCCTATGCAAAGCTTGGTTCAGGAAACCCAGTAAAAGGTGGCACCTAATGAACTGAGACTCTGCACTTGGCATTATGTTTTTGGAAGACTCATTCAAGTTGTTCTGAGCATATGGTGATCAACTGGCTAAAGTGCAAATACAGAAAACTAAAAATGCCCTGGGCATAGGGAAATTACTTCAGTCCTTAGAGGCCAGAGTCCCCTGCAGCCAACATAAGGATTAATTCATTCTTATGTGTCTTTGAGTCTTCATCCTGGACACCCGTGTTTCTCCTCTTCTTCCTCGAAACAGCCACCACAGCTGTAATGATGGTCACAAGGAGAACCAGAACAGCAATGACTGCCATGATGGGGACAGTGGACTGAGGAGGAGGCTCTGGGAAGGGAAGGACAGGAAGGGAAGATGAGGGCTATGACCCCAGCTCTCAGCCCTGACCCTGCTCAGGCTCTGCAGAAGCCTCCCCCTTTCCCAGACCCCAGCTCTGTCCCCCCTCCCTCCTTCCTCCATCTCAGGGTGGGGGGCTCAGGAAGCCCCTCAGGGTACACATGGCATGTGTATTTCTGCTCCTTCCCAGAAGGCACCACCACAGCTGCCCACTTCTGGAAGGTTCCATCCCCAGAAGGTCTGGTCTCCACCAGCTCCATGTCCTGAGTCTGTTCTTCCTCCTCCCTCTGCCAAGTCAGGGTGATCTCAGCAGGGTAGAAGCCCATGGCCCAGCACCTCAGGGTGACATCACCTTTAGGTCCAGGATGATGGGTCACATGTGCCTTTGGGGGATCTGTGTGGAAGATTTAAGAAATCCCACAAGAACAAGATAAACTGAAATCTGCAAAGACAAAGTTAAATCAATGATGACACTGAACTATGTCTGAACACTTCTGACTGTCACCACACTAGTGACCCGCAGGAGGCGCTGGTCCCCCTCATCACAGATCTGCACATTTTCCTGGGGGGACCCAGAAGCTAAGAGGAAAGCTCATGAACCAGCAGGTCACATGGTCTTCCTTATGTGATGTTGTGTAGCATAAGTTAGGTGGTAAAAGAATGGAAGAAGGGATGGAAAACATTTAATTTATATATGTGATTAAATATATGTCATAATAAGAAATAACGAACACTGGCTACATAAAGTGAGCCACCAACTTCTGCTGCCACCATTGAGGCTCAACTGCTGTCTAAGTGAACAGCCATGACCAAAGTGTGCAGCAGAAATGGGGTGAACCTCTGACACTCAGCAAGAGAAAATGACTCCCCAAGCCCTCCCTCTGGGGGTGGGACAATATACAAGGTGTTGTCACCCAGGATCCCTGGAAGTGTGCTGTGGAGCCCAGTCTAGCATTTACTGAGATGCAGCAGTGCTCACAGGGGTTTGTGGATTTTCCCTGTCACTCCAATCCTTGAGTTGTAGAAGACCCTGTCTCTGAGGAAGTTCATTTCCTAATTCACTCGAGGCAACACTGTAACTTGTTGTGGTTGAGGGAGTGCAGTGGGGGTTTGGATGGTTAATTCTGGCAAAAAAAAAAAAAAAAGTCTTAAAGTCTAAGCACACAGGAATCTTTCTTGTTTCAAAGGAACACTGACTTAACTTATGTAATTATCCAGAGCATGAGTCCCCCATGGCACCTGTACAGACTGACACTCATGATAGTACAAGGGGAGGAAGAAACAATATCACCCCAGAGAAGAAGAAAACTCTCTAAATGCAAAATAATACCTTAAAAAAGAAAAGAAAGAAGAAAAATTCAGTTTTTTTCAGGGAACCCCATAAATGCTCCTTTTACCACTCAAGGAAGAGATAGAATTGGAATGAGAGAGGGATGTAAACCTCACTCACAGGAATCTGGGAGAATGTATTCTTTGGAAAGTTCTAGAAACTGGGCAGAACCAGCCTAGGGTAGGGACATCCACGTCTCCCATCAGGTACAGGAGACTTCCAGTCGTGGTGTGTAAGGCTGACACACTCAGACACCGGGTGTGGGAGAGGCCATGGCTGGCAGAGGGCTGCCGACTGAGGAGCCACTGCTGAGGATGTGGACATCTTCTCTCCCGCCCTCCTGAGACAGATCTGGAACTGTCCAGGGAGAAGGCTGAGCCCTGGGAGATCAGTGCAGGCCCTGCCAGGCTGGATCAGGAGCCCCAGGGCCACTGTGTCCCCTCAGAGACAGGGGCGTGACCCCAGCTGAGGGTCTCTTCTTCCTCAGGACTGAGCCCAGCCCGAGGGCAGAGGGAGGAGATGCCCGCTGCCCCTGCACCTGTGCGCAGCAGCTGGTCCTTCCCGTTCTCCAGGTATCTGCGGAGAGACTTCAAGCACTCGTCCTCCAGGTAGGCCCTGTATCTTTCTTCATAACCATCCTGCTGTAACATGTGCTGGGTGATCTGCACCGCCGGGTCCGCCACGGTCCACGTCCTCAGGTCCTCGTTCAGGACAAGGTAATCGCGGCCCTCGTAGGCGTGCTTCTCATACCCATGGAGGAGGCGCCCATCTGACCCCATGTCACAGCCACACACACACACACTGGTAGGTGTGG